CACCACCACCACCACCACTACCCCCCTGTCGAGCAAGACCATTCACATAGATAGACCTCGATGGCTCCTTCGTCATCAGACGCTCAAGAAGGGACATTTCCAGTTCCCCCCCTCTCCCTCCACCTCCCCCTCCACCTCCACCTCCCCCTCCCTCTCCCTCTCCGGCTTCCCCTCCCCCTCCCTTCCTTTCCTTGCAAAGAAGGCAGTGCACAACGGGACCAAGCTGCTGGTGATCACCTGCGAGTACCACGACGGACCTCTGGTGCAGGCCGCAGGTTATGGGAATGAGACACTCCGGTTCCACCATGCTCCCAGCCTCATCGACGAACACGTGGGTGTACATCTCAGGTTTTATCCCGGCTTGCCAGACACAAGTAGCTGAACAACTTGTGGACACCACGACACGGTATCCCATCAGCTCCTTCATAGTTGGGGTCTCGAACCCTCCACCTCTGTGTCTGTTCGASAACCTCACCACCTCCTCWGGTATAGGGTTCCACCCCTCCAATGGCCGGGTGTAGGCATTCAAACGCAGTATACCCTGATTTACCCCACACCCCACAAGAGCCAGCAACAAGGAATCCGCGGCAGTGTTCGTCGCCGTGCAAACTAGAATGCGAGAGGAGGGATAACGCTTGTAAATGTGACAGATAGCCTTCACGATGGTCGTCGTCTTCCCCGTCCCCGGGGGACCGTGGAGAATGTACGCAGGAGCTCCTTCTCCCCCTCCTCCTCCTCCTCCTCCTTTCGCCTTGCATTTTCCTCCTCCTCCTTTGAATCCTTTCGACTTCCCTTTTCCTCCTCCTCCTCCTCCCATGGAGAACTCCGTCAGACGGAGGATATCTGTGAGCGCCTTCGACTGCTCCTCGTTCAGTGAAGGGCCTGCGATGGACGTACTTTGAACACAACGGCTGATCACGTCCGCATTCACGCGCGAGAGGTTCCCAGAGACTTCTCGCACCTTCCTTGGCGATGGGAACACCCACTGCACACGTGGTTGGAGGAGGTGGAGAGCATGGTGCTTGCGCTTTTCCACAACTCGCCCCATGAAAAATCGCACGTCGTACAAACTTGCATGGTCGATGTGACCCGCATGCAGCTCGGGAGGGAGATGTAGGAGGACCTCTTCTCTTCTGACTGCGGCCACGTAGCCCTGCACGAGTTGTCAAGAGATTACAAAAAAGAAAAATGGAGAAAAAAGGGGAGAAAAAGGCGTAGAAACAAAAATAGAAGCCCTGGAGGCCTTGCCACGAGTAGTAGCGATTTCGAGCGGAGTTCAACTTCCAGGGGGGGGGGAACAATTAAAAATGAAGCGCACGTCACGAGATGAGACAATTGGGGGGAAAAAAAAGAAAAAAATGCACATCACGAGATGTGACAGTGAAAAAAAAATAATAATAATAAAAAAAAAAATGAAGTGCACGTCAGGAGATGAGACAGAATGCAGGGGGAAAAAAAAAAGAAAAAAGAAAAGAAAAGAAAAGAAAAGAGATGAAACAGAATGCAATACATGTTGTCACAGATGAAGAAGTAGGCCAAACATGTTAGGTCCGGCGACGATACCTAGCCTCTGGTTGGGGTTGGGGCAAGGTAGGGAACCCGGGAGGGTTGGGGTTGGTGG